CAGACAGACAGAGAGAGAGAGAGAGAGAGAGAGCGGGAGTAAGAAAGAGAAAAAAAAACAGAGAGAGAGAGGCACAAGCACAGACAGACACAGTCAGACAGAGAGACAGAAAAATACACTGGGTGTTGTTTTGCTTACGTTGCTGCGTATACCCAACAAGAACTACTGTCTAATCTACACGGTGGTCCACACGCGCCCATACACATGCAAATAATGCGGGAGAAAACAACGGAATTGGTATTCATAAAAATGATCGGCGAGGTTGCCATAACTTTTGAGAACAATCCAACACTTGATCGCCTCTCTTGTTGCACACACATTAACGCAGCTGGTGTTTAGAAAGTAACAGCACTAGTAAGGACTTGTATGGTAATTTCCCTCGCTATGTTTGGAAACTTTACACCTTCCGTCCTCGTTGGTGGGTTTTTTTTCCCCCACTTGCTTTATTTAGGGTGTACATTCAGTCGACAAGTCGGGTCGAAAGAATCGGGTTGAAATGGATGGGATAATCAATTAGACTAGGAGGTGATGCCGTATTAACCAGAAAAAAGCTATAATTCAACTTTGACCAACACACGCCATTAACATATTATTTATGATTATATACCCCTTCTCCCTAATCCTAACCCCCCCTCCCTCCAAACAATTAACCACCACCACCACCAACAACAACAACAGTAACAACAAAACAACAACGAAAACATAAGCAAAAACTGGTGCTTTATTCATATAGAGAAAAAGGCAGACAAAATCCAAATGAATAGTTGATACTATTTTGGTAAGAGGAACGATATCATTTTTTAAAATAAAGTGAAAGAGATCTACGCTAAAGCAATCTGTTTGCCTAGTGCGCATTGCCCAAAATTTGATACATTTGATTTTCTTTTTGTTAATACTGTCGGGCTTGCCACGATTTTCCATCATTCACGGGGAGAGGGTTTCCATTTTTACACATTTTGATCAAATCCTCCGAAAACAACCATGTTTAATTTGGGCAGATTTGATCAGTTTGTGCCCAACATGGCAACATTTTGCCCCTCCGTGTGGGGGAAAATCGGACAGACGTCGACTCGATTCGACTGCATTCAATTGACATTGAGCACTGGATATTAGAGTAACATGAGTGAGCGCGCTGCGTAACGGCAGCTGTAATTACTCAATTATTGTTTAGTCGGGTTTTTCCCGCTTGTAAATTTGAGAAACTTTTATCACATTGACATATTATTATTATTGTTTTATTTCATTCTCTATAATAAGGACAAAGCGACGAGACAGAAAGTGAATATATGAGAAAATCGAATTAAAAAAAAAATTGATGTAGAAGAGAGATACAACTATTAATAATATTATACTATACACCGGGTGTCTTTTCGCGTGCTCATTATTTTAACATTTCGACTATTTCGGTTTTTTTGGGTGAATGTTTAGAAATTGCAGTAATTGGGAGTCCCGTAGCGTACACAGGTGTGACAGTGCATCGCAATTAGCCACCCTACAATGACAAAATTCTATCTACTAGGTAACGTAACTAGTTTTGAGACATTTAACGTTAAAATGTCAAGTTTCACAACATGTCCATCTCTCTCTCTCTCTCTCTCTCTCTCTCCCTCTCTCTCTCTCTCTCTCTCTCTCTCTCTTCCTCTCTCTCTCTCTTCACCCCCACCCTCTCTCTATCCTCTCTCGACTTCTTTCTCTCCCCTCCCCTTCTCTCACCTCCTTCTCTCCCTTTCTCAAACGCAATTCTTGGAATAGCTTGACAACGACTGCGAATAATTGTACGGTTTTGGTGGAGTTCATACAACATCTGGAAGATAGATAGACAGAGAGTGGTGTAAAAAAGTGAGAATCATAGCCAGAGACCGAAAGAAAGATATTATTTTCAAACAGACGAGTCATCCTCTCTCTCTCCCTCTCCCTCTCCCTCTCTCCCCCTCTCCTTCTCCTTCTCCTCCTCCCCCGTCCCCCCTCCCCCACTCCAACTCATTCTCTCTCTC